TCTGATGTCATACAATTGAACAGATTCACCTGTCTGGAGGAATAAATGTGGATCCCTCCAGATTGGATAGAGCTTTTGCTATCTGTTCTAGCCTTCATTTTTAAGTGGAGAAAGGGCCTAGGAGATTCTCCTCTCTCTCTTTTTCTTTTTTTTTTTTTAATTTTCAAACTCTTGCTCTTCTCTCCATTCCACCTTCCCCTCCCAGTAAAAGTTTAAAACATAATTTTAGGATATAAGTAGATGTTGCTGGGCAGCATCATGAAATTGTTTCCTCTCCCATTCAGAGGCACTAGAAAGTATCTGTTGTATAGAACTCTGTTCCTGTTGAAGAGGAATAGGGAACCTTTAGGACAGGAAGACAGGAAAATATCCAATCTCTTGTAAAAACAGAAGTATTGCAATGTTAATCTATGAATCTTATGCAGAATGGAGTCAGTGCAATTTGGATTACAATACTGTCTAAATATCTTGATAGGTTCTAATCCCAGAAAACTTGCAGAAACCAAGGAGAGAGAACAGTAGTGAATCACTCGCTTTACATATGTGGACAAAATAATTTGATGTGGGTTCTAGACTATATTTCTAACACCACCCCTCCTTTTTTTCCTTAGAGGATCTTCCCTCTTAAACTGCTGATAAAGCAGCATGTTGCACTTAACTGAGAAGTAAGGGAGATTTAGAAAAAGAGGTCTGACTCATTAGGCTGAACCTTGATTCCCAGCTGTTAAAAAATGGCCAGCACCTTATGCTTTGAAAGAAGGGGCTTTTTTAAAGACATAAACAAGCCACTGTTGTTTTACTGCACCTTACCTGTTGTGCAAGAGATTGAGAAAGAGTTCTGGTCCTTTGCCTCATGAACACACTATGGGATAAGCTACACCCACTATAAACACAAACAGTTTACCTCACTGTCTCCTGTGTAGCAGTATATCTGGTCTCTCCATGCTTGCTGGTTCTATCTCCAGCATGTTTTCTGATAGAAAATTAGCACACAAGACTTGCCCTCTTGGAAGTAATCCATTCTCAGCACCAAGCACTGCTTCAACAATATATGGTGTTAAAAGAAAAAATATGCTGTGTGTAATGTTGAGACCTTCTACACGACCTACAACGGCAAGAACTAGAAGCTTTACCAGAAGTATATGTCTAGAAGTCCTCTTAAGATAGTGGCTATTTGTGTCAGAACTCTTAGGCTATACGTCCTGGGATAATATTTATATTAAGGAGTAAATGTGGGATGGTGATGTTGAGGGTAGTTGCAGTTCCTCTGTTGAAATCTGAAAATATATTTAAAAAGCCTTAGGGTTTATTTTCTATGCTAAAGACTAGCTTATCTTTTAAACATAATGTGGAAATTATGAATTTAGAGCAATTTTGTGTTGACTTCTTAAGGAAGTGGAGAAGCAGGCTAATCCACAACAGTTAATGTATGCTTTGAACTATCCCCCCACCCCGTTATGCTCTTAATTTGACTAGAGTGTCTCTTGATGCGGTGTTGGTCTAATTTCTTTCAAACATACTAAAAATTGTCACCCTTTCAGCAGGGGTTTTTTCTTTCACAGGGTGGTTTGTGGTGGTGATGGTGGGAAGTATGTTACAAATAAATTGTCACACTTAACACTTTGCTTTGTTTAAAGTGACTTATCTGATTCCGAGTGATGCAACTTTAAAGACTTTTAAAAACAAAGAAACTAAAAAGCACACATGAATCGCCAGTCTTCAGAGTGAGCAGTGAAATCTATGAGGTGTCCCAACACAAACAACTGATGATGACCCTGCCTGCCTCCTTGCCTGCAAGTACCCCATCTGACTACCCAGGGCTGGGCATGATGAAAAGTGCAAAGTCTCCTTAATTCTGTATATGGCTTTCTTATCTGTCTTTCTCACTGTAACTATGAACTACAATAAGCTTACCTACTGGGGTTTTGTCAAGACACTCAAAGTTCATGTCTCAAAGTCTGTTGACAGCCTGTGTGAATAGTTTTGGCACTCGAGTGGAAGAAGAGGGAGTTTTAAATGAAAATGTCTGTATATATAAAGAACTGCTATATTTTAAGACTCTTTTCCCTGCAGTATAATGAATTTTATTTAATACTGCGGCTCACTTCTGGTGCAGTGTAGCGTATTGTGGAGTACTGTGAGTGCAGAACTAAAGACACCAGGAAGACAGCAGCCTGTAATGTGTGAGACTTCAGTGCAGAAGATTACAACAGATGTACTGAAATAATACAGAAAGCACCACAGTGTGCCATACAGAGAGTAATAAACCTCTATCAAATGACCCACGTAACAGTAAACCACGTCCGTCGCTTTCCTGCTCCACAGCTACACTGCTGTAACCTGCCTTTTCCTTTATTTCGTTTATAAGGCTCACTTTCTTTTATGGTATCTTGCTGAAACAGGTTCTATTCTCCTGCTAACGATTTAGCAATCATGGAAAAGGTGCTATTCTGAGTTGCTGATCTCCAAGTCTTTTGGCAATCTGAAACTACCAAATAAGTATTAGCTCCAGGAAAACAATGGCTATTAGCTGCCATATTACAATTTTCTGTCTTTTGACTGCAGGACAACTGTGGTGCTGAAGGTGAAACAGCCAATGATATCCCACAGTTACAATGGGCAGCTTAAGTGTAAGGACCCTTGTGCCGGTGTGGGAGGGTAATGAAAGCTTGGACAGATTTTGGAGATGTTTCTTGTGTTTAGAAGATGTAGGAAGTAGGTGGAAGTTCTGTTGTAAGAATTTCATCAGCATAACAAAGATCTGCTCTTATATTAAGAAAGCTTGAGAGGTAAATATGTGTGGAAAGAATAAGAGTACTTACTTTCTAGGAAAGGAGTACAGGGCTGTGCTTGTAGCCAAAATGGAGCTTGTAAGACAGGAGTGTGTTCATGCCTGGAGATTGATGAATAGCATACAACTCAAGAAAAATAATCTTGAAAGCTTTCTGAAGCACAAGTGCCAAAATTATGAGGCATGACTAGTTACCAGCATAGCTCAGTGCTATCATACTGAACAATTATTTTGACTTTGTTTATTCAAGAAATTCCATCCCTAATTTCAGAGCAGAAACGGAAAGAGAAAAATGAGAGAAGCAGCAGATGATATTGTAAGATTAATTAAAAAAAAAATAAATTCAAAAGCCAAGATAACCAGTGTTTGCCAGCATAACCTTTGTACAGAGCTTATATGTTAAATGTAGTTTTTGACCTATCATTTTTAATGGATGATGTACTGAAGTCAAGAAAGTTTTTAACTTTTTGCTGGTTACCAAAGTATACCTATGACTGTATTATTTGGGATTATAAAGATCTGAGATAACTTTGGGATATTTTTATTAAATAGATGAATATCTTAGTTCCATGTTGCTGAAATGGCAGCATATATCTCTGCCTGTAATCAGTATTGCTGATTTGGACTGATATTTTCGGTATGTACTGATTTTTGCTTTATTTTGGTGATAAAGGCCCAAACCATGGATTAAAAAAAAACAAAAAAACAGCAACAAAAAAAAAAAAAGCAACAAAATAAGCAACCATGACAGCTTGTAAATGTAGCAACTTTTTTTCATTTTCATCAAATTTATAATTTCTAAATTTTCAGTTAGCTCTGGCTGTTCTTAAATGTCATGCTTCCTGTTTAAATCAAAGCCAAAAGCTAAATAATTGGGCAAGGAGTTGCTTTATTTGGATCCTACTATGCTTAGGAATATCTTTTAAATACTTACATATTGTGTACAGGATTTGGTTTTGCAGTATGTCATGACAACAGCAAAATATTCAGTCAGTGAGATTAGCATGTGCAATTTTGTTATTTTATTTCTGTTATCTTAAAAGCTTACACAATGGAAACTAACAGTGAATGTTCATTAGATCTTTCTTTCAGAGAAGACTGTTAGCAAACATTTGTGCTTCCCTGTAGGACAATGCAGATTTGCACAATCTGTGATTTATATGTCTACGGGTTGCAAAACTGGAAAATCGCACTTCAGGGTGAGTGCAGCTCAACTTTTGTAGCTGGAGAATTTGTTGTTGTTGTTAAGAAGCAGTATCTTTAAAGATAGATGACAAGGTAGTAACAATTTAAAGGAGTGCAGCTATTGCCAGCAAAAAACACTGTGCAATGCTGAATTCCTTTCTCAGTTTTTGCAGTCTCAGGAAGTTAAGTTTATTGCTCCAGAACTCTCTGCTCCTCTCGGAATGATTCGCTATATCATTTTGTTTCTTTGACAAGGATGACAATCCTATCTGTGAGTGATAACTTAGGTATGTTTTCTTAGTGATCCTAAGAAGACCAATATTATTTTAGCTCAATTTGAATACTAAAAGATGCTGAATTGACACTGTTAGGGTTTGAAGTTCTCTAGCCTTGGAACATACTCTGTAGAGGCCATAAGTGTGCCTAATGCCAACCTACCCCATTCCAGCCACAAAGGGACCATCTCCAAGGGGAGAGAATAAAGGGCATGTGCACCTTTCAGCATCACTGCAGGGATTGCCAGGAAAGAGAGCAGTTTATGACAGCACTGTACTTTCATTAGGAAGTGGATTGACACCACTTGGCCATTTCATACTAACTTTAAAAGTATATACAATGTGGATGAGATTTGTGGACAATGAGCGTTGTTTTACTCTACAGAAGACAGCAGCTATGAATAAATGATGTGCAATATTTAATACAGTATTGCTTTCATATACGATGACCCAATCTACATGTAGTGGGTTTGTGTCTAAAAATTCCAAAAAGCTTAATCTTTCACCTGTTGCCAAGATCTGCTCCCACTGAAGCTAGTAACAAAGATCTCATTAACTCCCACAGGAAAAAGTCTTTACTCTTATGTGGTCATTATAAAGTTTTAGCAACTGCTGGAGTCATGGGTGTCTTTGCTTTACTCTGAAGCATTCTGTGCTGGGATCAGGTGGATAAATCTGAGATTGCAGGTGTAGTGTTGGTAAACTGATCCTGATGGTTTTGATATTCAGATAATCTGAATTCTGCTTGCTTTTTTTTTTTTTTTTGGTCCTGCATGGACAGAGTGAAAAAGTAGCGTACTTGTGTTGGAGAAGAAATGTTTTTGGGTTGTTTGGTTTTTTGCTAAGCAGCTTTTTGTAGTAACATTTTATGTCTTTTCTGATAATTCTCCATTTCCTTGCTGTGCTGTTTGAAAGCCCAAGGTTGTTCTAACTAGAAATCACTTTCAGCATTATTTGCAGGCCTGCTACTAATTGTACCAAACCCATTTCAAGTTGGGAGGTGCAGTGGAAGGCCAGCAGCTTTGGGAATACTGTAATAAAACCACTTACATGGAAAAAAAAATAATTTGTAGATATTAAAAATAATGGACCTGCACAGAGGAGAATACTGCTGCTTCAGTATTGTAGGCCACCTGAGCATAGAAGGGCTTTGTTCCTTGTGATCAGGTACTTTCATTTTTAGTGAGAGAGAAGGTATCTTGGACCTTTGTAAAATCCAGATAGGCTTTTGTTCACCTTTCTAGTTTTAGCTGCTAAGCACAAGATGAGAAATGTAAATTTATCTTAGTGCAGAAATCTCATATTTTTGGCAACATACACCTAAATCCATAAAGATCAAAATCATTTGTTAGTGCTAGCGTTTTGCCTTTGCAGCACTACTGACTGGCGTTCTAGATCTTCAAATAATTACTCTGGTGTGTATATCTGCCACTGTAACATGGTGAAGATAGCTAAACTCACAGTTGAAGACTGAGAGAAAGGTAGAAAGAATAGGCTTAACTAAATATCTGTAGAGATGCTAACATAATGTTAATTGAGAAATCACAGTGATTTAACTCATGATGCTGCAAATTGTCATACAGATATAATTTGTTAGTTTGATAGTCTGCTATCCGTCATGAGTCACTTTTGGAACGCAAACTTCTTGAAGTTCAGACACCTACAGGGAAAAAGGAATCCTTTGAGGAAGATAAATATATAGACAGACATAGATACTTGGCAAGGAGAGCAAAGAATAAAAGAGGAAGAGGAGAGTAATGCAAGAATCTGACTTGAATGAGATTGCTTAAACTGACACCTCGCTGTTTACAATTTTAGGCCAATTTGAATCCCCTCAGTTTAGCATCATACTGAAGATAAGTACTTGTTTATGTCTTGGGAATCTGCTTGTCTCCACAGTCCAGAAGGAAGTGAAAGGAGTATACAGATATGGAGGAGAGTTACTGCAGAAAGGCATGAAAAAATAGCTGTTGTTTCAACTAAGTGTGCTGTTGTGCTGGGGCTTGACCTGCCAATGTAAACTGGTCAGTGCTGTCTCACAAGGAAACTACTATCTGAGGCCCCAATCTTTTAAGGTCTCAATTCTGCTGTCATTTCTGCATGGGAAGAGCCCTTTATCTATAGACAACCATGTGGACTTCACAGGATCTGTTCTTGAATGTGAAGCTCTGCCCAGGCAGTCAGCTGCAGAATTGTGTCCTTAACACACTATCCAGTTGTAGTTATAGGGCTGTTGATATTAAGTGTAATTTGGGTGCCTGTTATATAGCTAAAACCCTTGTTACTTCATTTTCCTAACTAAGGCATGAGCAGAAGCCCTTTGCTGTACAACATCTGTAAAAAACTTAAAAATGTACTTCACATACGTCTAGTAAATTAAGGCATGTGATTTTGGTCTGTGGGTCTCAACAAACCTTGCTCGTGTACCTGCCTGAATGTTTTCCTAGATGTGCAGCTACGTTTCAGTGAGAAGGGATGGTGGGATTTGTTTTCCCGAGGGGGAACAATAGCAGCTCTCACCTGTCACACTGGGGTGACCGCTCGCTACTGGCCAGGATCAGGGATGGATGCATCCTCCGCACTTTTATGTGAAGTTGTCTGAAATATGGTGATTAACATGATTATTGGAATACTGTATTTTGTATAACTTAGAACATGTAAATACACTTTTAAAACTAATCTGTTCTATGAAGTAATAAATAAGTGCTTCCATTGTAATATCTGAATATTGTTAATGCTTCATGTAGCTTGATTTGGGATTATTTCTTTCCTAGAGAACTACAGAAATCAAAACAAAGATTGATGTTGTGGAATTCTAGTCTAGTTGTGATGCTTTCTATCAACAAAAAATGTTTTAAAAATAATAATGAGCTACTTAAGCAGAGAAACTAAGATTTTGAGGGAACTGATTTTCTTCCAGTCTTTCTTTAACAGTAGTCACTGATTACATTCATCATTTGTACTCTTCCCATCCTGTTAGCTGGACAGTTGATTTGTTTGTGAGTAGCATTATTAAATTATTTGTAAACTTTAGTGACTGAGGAAAACCAAAGCTGGGTGGTTTTTTTTGGGTGTGGTTTTTTTAACTATTCTCTCTTTTGGCTCAAACAGATCTGTCTCCACCCTTCAGCCAGACTGCAGCAAGTTGCAGTGCAACAGTGAGTGACTGTTACTGAAGCTCATTTGTGACCTAGATAGTCTACATCTTTATTAGTTCCATTATGTACATAGATGACACGGGTTTCCTGTTGTGGTGTGGAGAGAGAAAGAGAGAGAAAGTGATTAATGACTTTTGGTTTTGCTGAGTACATGTTCACTGGATGCTGCACAGCTGGACCTTTCATCAGCTTTCATGACCTTTTCCTATCTTGTGTTAAAAAAAATAGAAAACAGTGGAGTAAGAATCATGAGCAGTCTGCTAGGAAGTCTGAATGCTTGGGTTTTGAGGAGGAGGTGAGATTAATCCATCAGCCTTCATGTAAAGAGATTAGCCTGTAATGACACTTTCTCCAGCCATAATGTAACTTTGTCTTTAATGCTGTACTGGAGCAGTCTCCTCTCTGGTAACAGCTATGTCTGCAGTGTTCCATAAACGACAAAGCCACAGCTTTCGTAGTGGGCAGAGAAAACAGCTTGTCTTTATTTTCATCTATTTTTTTTCCTCCTCTCTCAGTGTCTCTAGGCTGTAAAATAGCTATGAAACAGCTAAGCAAATGTGCAAGTTATTCTGAAAACTCTGTTCTTGTAAAGCTTTTTCAGACACATACAGTTTTTAACTAAATAATTTGAGGGAACTCCTATCTGCTATATTTGGCCTGAAATTCTGTTGCCTCTTGGATAAAAGCATTTTTTTGTCTTCAGATGTGACACTGATCTGTCCCATTCATTCAGTGGGATGGATAATAAATCTGCACAGTATTTATATAAGATATAAATCTGATCTTAGTTTTACTGTGTGTTAAGTTGTTTAATCTCTTGGATGTCTACTCCTTGAGGTTGTCTATATAATTCCTGTATATGTAGCTGCTTTTTGAAGCAGTCCATCAAGTGCATTTGAGATCATCCTGACTGAAAAATTCCACAGAAGTGAAAGAGATAATAAAGTTTGTAAAGCGGCTGGGTAAAACTGTATTGCCATAAATGGTTTTAATTTCTATATGAATCTTCTGTCCCAAACTGCTTATTTTGTACATAAACCTAAACACTCCTGGCAGCTGATGGGTGAAAATAAAGGTGCTTAAACAGCAATCTAATGAGGAAAGGGCATTTCACTATTACAGAGTTGGTATTATTTTATATTTCCATTTATTACACTTTTTTAAATGTATAAACCACAGATTTGAATTCTCAAAGTCTTCGGCTTGGATTTTGTGAGTAGTTTAAATCCTCTCACCTCTCTGCTCGTAACTGGTTTTTAAGAAAAAGAAAAGCTTTTGTTTAAAATGTAAAATTTTGACTGTATTAAATTCTGTTAGTACCCTTCCTTTTTAAGAAATAAAATGTATATTCCACTATGCTGAGACCCAGTAATTTTCTTCTCGAGACAGCATACTGTGTGGTGTACAGCTCCACTGCCAGCATTACACCTGCAATTTGCAGTGAAGTTGGTAGACACTAAAGCAGCTGATCACCTTATGGGAGTGGGTTCTTGCTGTGCATTTCCCATGTGTTAAGTGTAACTGCTGGTAACAGGTATACAGTTCCCCACTTTAATTTTCTGGATTAACAGATTTCAAAAGCATTCTTGCTTTTTTGGTTTTGTGTTTGTCCTGCAGTGACTCTTGGTTGAACTCTCTCAGGCAGGGGGAGAAATCTGAGAACAAGTCAGCCACAGACACTTGGACCGTGCTTTGTCTGTTATGTTGGGGCTGAGAACATCCACAAAGTAATGAGAACTTTACTTTCTTTCATGGGAAGAAGTAATGTTCTGAATAAGTAAGCTTTGTCCCTGAGGACAGCTTTCTCTGTACCTTGCCATTCTTTTTTTTGTTTTTTGTTTTTTTTTTTAACTTGATTTGTTGAGGGTTTTGGTTGGTTCATTGTTTTTTTCATTGGTGGTTGGGTTTTTTCATTTTTATTTTCCAAAAGCTAGGAATTGAAGATCAATCTGGTAAGAAATGTATGTCTTCTATATGTTTCTGCATCTCACATATTCTTTCAAGGTAGACAAGATCACTGGTGCTTCAGTATAATCTCAAGATGAACTGCAGTAAGGATCTTTGTTGGATCTTTGCTTTTGTAAAAGGTATCTTGTATGATTTGTGATGATGAAGAAACTAAGGGTCAGTGAGTTGTTCATCTCTAGCAGTCTTCCAGAGCCATGGCAGGTTTAGTGACCCAGGCAATTGGTTTATGAAAGCAAAAAAACCTTCCTCTTTAGAGGGAGGGGCCTGACCTCTATCACATACCAAAGGCCAAGGTCTTGACATTGCCAAGCCAAGGATTTGCCCTAGAAACTAAGTGGATGCAAAGCTGTGCTGGATGTATCCTTCTGGCGTTACATGGCTTTAACAGAGTGGAGGATATTTGGCATTTTTTTCCTGTTGGAAATATCCTGTTAGAACATCAGCTGGCAGCAACACCAATGTTTGTTACACTGCCTTCTTTCCAGGGAGCTTGAATGTTCTCTTGGGTGGGTGGGGAGTGAGTTCATACATGTACTAACTCTGCACATTGTATTACTAGTTCCCTTTGGGTAATGTTGCAGCTATTAGTGATCTGAAAAATGGCAACTGCTTACTCAGCCTCCTTCCTGTTGTGTGTTGGGAAGATCCGCTGATCTTGGTAGTTTGGATACACTGGTACTCATTTTTGCTCCTGCTGGCTACACCGGATCCACAGAAGAGCCGAAAGGATCTGTCTCTAGTGGGTCTGTAGCACTCTGCAGCAGGAATGGAATACTGTGGTTGAGAAATGTGAAAGAGCTTCATCCACCAAGAGCCTTGGGGTTTTTGCTTGCTCTTGGCTGTGGTTGGCTGGACATGACCATTGAGAAAGTGTGTCTTAGGCTTCTGAGGAAATAGCAAATTGACAGAAGGAGAGTAAAGCCAGAAGCTGATGGTATAGCTTTGACAGACTTGTGCTTAGGTAGGTGGGGTGTCCCTGAGAAATGATTGCAAAAGAGTAATATGAGACTAGCCTTCCTCCCATAAGGGAAAGAGAGGAGGTGAAAGAGGCTGGCTTGGGATGTGGAGTGGAAAGCTGCTAGCAGTATTCCAGATGTTGCAAGAGGTGACTGTACCTTATCCCTCTGCCTGATCAGTTTTGATGATCAAAACTGGCTCTTGTATGCTTTATTCCCGAAATATGCTTCCAGCTTGCAAGAGCAGGCTCAGCATCCGCCCCACCCCCGGCTGAAGGCTGGAGCAGCAAGGCTTTGAGGCAGAGCCATGTGCGTGCTCCACGGTGGCGGTGAGGCCGCAGCAGGGCCCCCCCCACCCCAGGCTTTGTGCCCGCGGTGCTGCTCAAACCCACCTGTGCTGAGAAGGGTGCGGGTGGCTCCCGAGCAGCTGCTGCTTCAGCCTTCCTTGTCTGCTGGTGCAGTCATTTTATCCCGCTGATTGCTTATTTGTTCCTAAAGCTTTATAGGGTGTAAAATACATAATCTGAAGAGAAAGTAAGCTCATCTTCTCCTAAATTCGCATACTGCCTCAGTCCATCGAGCCAAGTTTGCTCCGGTGTCCTGCTCCTCCTGCACGCCTGCTTGCAGCCCGGGATGATCTGCCGTTCCACATCGTTATCCTGAAGGAAAGGCTGGCTTCATCAAGTCCTAAGACGGCAGTCGTACT